TTATAAACTAAATGAAATGAATGGTAATAATTATAAAGTAGGGATGAAATGAAAGTAACTGGAAAAGAATAAACTATAAAGAAAAATAAAATGAATTAGTCAACATATTAAAATGGGAAGAAAATAGTGTAGGGAATGAATCCTATATGAAGGAGTGGTGAAGAAAAACTGGAACCTAAGTATATATATTAACCTGTCAATAAAACTATGAGTAACGTGATAAATAATACGGTAATGAAGCCGAATCCAGTAAGGTAGTGAACAGAAATAACAACGAAATCTAAACTAGAACTACAGTTAAATCAAAAAGAACAAAACCTAGTTAAGCCTAATCAAGTGATACAGAACAAAGGATAACCTAAGAACAAAAAGAAAAACGAAACTGAACAATAAATAGGCACAATACTGGGAGAAGTCTGTGTGGGCCCCGATTCAAGGGTTCCACCTAAACCAGGTGACAAAAAATTTATTAACATAATGATATAAAAGTAAGAAACTAACATAGTTAAACTAATGAAGAACATACTATGTTAAACCTAATTGAATGGTATAGAATAAAAACAACATAGACTAATTATGTCTTAATGTAACTTAGTATCAACTAATCTAAATAAGCATATGTTATGGAATTCAAATAATGACAGATAATAATATTAACAATAAAATTGTAAAACATCTTATCTTTCCAAAGTCGGTGGACTGTATGGCAAATGTTGGGCTATGAAGCACGATGAAATAAGGTGGAAACTGTCCATAAAGTAATGTGAAAGAAAGCCATTATAAACGTGTGAAAAGAACAAAGAATCTCCATACTGGGAATGGAGATTACATAATGGAAATGAAGAACCAAACACTTGAAATTTGGGGGGTAGAAAAAGGCTATCAAGATCTATGTCTGCTTGAACAGGGTAGACTTCTAGAGGAGGAATTGTGGACGAGAACCATTTTAACGTTCAATCTCCCAGAGGATAAACCCCAATAAAAACCCACACCTGCAGCCTGTGAGACAGTGCTAGTCATAGGCATGACCCCCCCCCCCAAAGTGGTAACTTTAGCTTCGGAATAAGATGGAATAAAAATGAAGGCAAATTTCAAACTTCAGAGAAACTGGAAGTTATAATAAATGAAGACCACTTTGTGAGTATAATAAATACAAACGTGAAACAGTAAAGAACGACAAAGAAAAACATCCGAGTACAAGCTATGCCAAACGAGAAGTATAACAATTTGTATATCATTACTACAAGATCTTCAGATCTTGAAATCTACATCAAAGAAAGTTTACCAAAGAAACACCACTCTACTCTTAACAACTTGCAGACCTAAAATTATTCTAAGTTTATACATTTGAAACTCTATTGTTTGTTAAGAATAAATATAGTTCTCTCATACAACTTGTTATTCATGATAAATTTATAACATACTCTATAGCCTGTTCTTCCTTCCATTTACCACTTTAGTGAATATATATAAGTAAATTGGTGATTAATGATACTATAGCATTAGTTAATAAGTATCATTGTAACATTATGATAAATGATATTCATGATAAATTTATAACATACTCTATAGCCTGTTCTTCCTTCCATTTACCACTTTAGTGAATATATATAAGTAAATTGGTGATTAATGATACTATAGCATTAGTTAATAAGTATCATTGTAACATTATGATAAATGATATTCATGATAAATTTATAACATACTCTATAGCCTGTTCTTCCTTCCATTTACCACTTTAGTGAATATATAAGTAAATTGGTGATTAATGATACTATAGCATTAGTTAATAAGTATCATTGTAACATTATGATAAATGATATTCATGATAAATTTATAATATACTTTATAGCCTGTTCTTCCTTCCATTTACCACTTTAGTGAATATATAAGTAAATTCGTGATTAATGATACTATAGCATTAGTTAATAAGTATCATTGTAACATTATTTTCAGATTTCGTTGAAGGTGAAATAAGTGTATTCCAAAACATTCAAACCTTCTATAAATAAAAATGATTGGTGTTTTGTCAACCATCTTCATCTTTATTATTAATCGACTTCATTTTCCCTATCATGAATCTCTTCTACATTATTTTAACACCAAACTTTATTAATTAGACAACAAAAATGAGAAAAAGTAAAGTAAAATGATTGTATATGGTTGCTTAATTTGCCACATATGATTTAAATATTTATTCACTTGAAAACCAACGATTTCTATAATAAAACATTAAAAACACCTGAATAGAAAACCTTTACAAGTTATTGTAAGTTAGCATAAGTGAGAAATTTCCCCCACTATTTTTCCTCCTTACCTCTAACACTCTCACCATATCACTCTTCTGGTGGACCTGATTAATATACACAGTTCTGTACTCCAGCCACTGATTGATCAAGGAGGACTCTTCAATATTTGTACCTGAATGATAAGTCAATAAGGCAATGATATTAAGTATTTTGGAAAAAAAATCAAAATAAAGCCTCTTATTAGTTACAAATAACACACAGCTACATATATATGCCAGGTAGAAGAGGAAGGTGGGGGCACAAATAACAGGGAACAAAGGACAAAGAAGAGGTAGATTGGTAAAGTTGGAGACAGATGATGAGCAGCATCAGTCTGTGACTCAAACAAACTAGGAAAGAAGAGTAGAAACAAGGAAGAGTGAGCAAGAAAGTAGAAATGGAACAGCCACAATGGAGAAGTGAAGGGAATGAGAAACACCCACAAAGTTCACTGGGGCAAGGTGGAGTTCCTCAGTGTTGAGGTGTAGAGATGAAAGGGCAAATGTGGTAAAAAGGATCAGGGAAAGACAGCAGAACTAGGTACCGGATGGCAAAACCCACATCAAAAGTCTCCCCACCCCTGAAATAGCAAGGACAAAACTAAATGTGAGAATCTCAAAGAGAGGTCAGAATGACAGATATCAAGGAAAGAAGATGCAGAGAGACTGGAATGGATAGGCATATGCTCATGAAAATGGAAGTGGTCCAGAAATGCTAACAAAATGAGTTAGGATTAGGATAAAGAAAAGGGGAATAGGAAAGAAAAAGAATGGCGCATACCTGATAAACACGGTAAAAAATATTCCAGACATATAAAGTGAATCTTCCATAGGAATAGAAGTTCCTAGGGCCTAAAAGAGGAGAAGGAACAAGCAAATTTGTCTTCCTCATTCACCCCACAAATGCAGAGAGAGACTGAAGCTGAAGGACTTGGCAGCAGAAGGGAACCCACTATCCTAAACACAAAGGCTGGCAAATCTTCCATAGGGAACATGCTTCCATAAACAATAATTATGTCATAACATGTGTGAGGAAATTAATTATTCACACAAGTAGTAGTAGACATTACATGTGTTTATAGTTTGAAGAAAAAGAAGGAAAGTAAATTTCCTCCTCATCGTCAATCTCATTACATTGAAAAAGAAAAAACAAATCTGATATGTTCAGTACTGAGAAATAGAATGAAGATCACAAGTGCAAAAGCATAGAGGAAGCTAGTGCACATGTAGGCTATGTTACCCTCCTATTGGTAGAGAGCATTTGTGTTGTAATAACATCATTATATATTAGCATAAATCACAAGGATTCTCAAGAGTTTAGGTAGGAACTGCCTAAAGGCTAGTGGCATTCAAATCTCGAAGGCAAATACCCGGGGAAGCTTTCTGTGCGAGAGGTGTGTATCACCTCAAGAATAAAACTTTGGCTTTCTATTGGTTGTAAATAATATAGTATTAAACATCAGAAAGAACTATTGGAAACATGGGGAAAAAAAGGGATGTGACAAGTGGGTCTGATTTTTTAGCTTACGGCTCAATAAGCAAATAAGATTAAAGACTATAAAAGTTATACTTTGCCTGAGTAATATCTATATTATAATGAGTAATTTACATTGGGTAGTAAGTAAACTTGAGAACAGAGAAGACTTGGAGAACAAATGTCACAATTCTCATACTAGGGAGATTGAGAATTTAAAAAAATATTTCCCTGTAAAAGTAAGAACTTCAAACTTACATAATATTAAAATTTGATTAATTAGCCACATTTTGATACCAAGTTTATTTATATACCATGATAATAAATTAGTTTAATTCAATTTTGAATGCAAGTCTAAAAAGTCAGGACGTGGACACTTTGACCTGCCCACAGAGAGAGAGGATTAAGCAACATGGGAACAAAGATACAAGATTTGATCTGAATGTTAAGACCTTGTGATATAAAGTTAAATGTATTTATTAACCTATAAGTTATTATTTGGAGATACAGTGTACCTGTTATTTTCATAAACAACTGTGAAAGAAAGTTTCAATTTCAACATTGAACTACTCAGTGGGTAATAAATTTTTCATTAAAAGAAAAGAGTAACCAAAACACTCACACTACATCTGAGAGAAAACACAATATTACAGGAGGCACTGATGGGCAAAATAGGCCATGAGATTACAAACCTGATGGACAGAGACATAAAAAGTAAAAAAAGGATCAACACTTAATTGAAAATAAGATGTATAACCCAACTGAGCAAAGTGGGAGGATATAAGTTAATAGAACAAAAGGAATTTCACAGCAACAAAAGACATTACCAAGTGCCCTGAAAAGGGACGGTACAAGTGATATAACAATGAATAGACCATACAGAACAAAGAAAACAATATGGATTGAAATAACTGCAGAGCAAAGAAAGATAAAGGAAAAGGAATGGAGAACACTCACCTTACCAAGCCATCCCAAGTTTGGGAAGGAAGAAGCAGTCAAGAAAGAAGATTAACTTGACATGGTGGTAAATAGTGCAGGAGGAGACCAAGACAAAAGTAACAGTGACAGCTCCCATAAGCACGAAGGGAAAAAAAATCTGTCTACAGCATAGAAAAGAAGAATGAATCACACATGAAACAAAGCATCCTCTGTCAGAGCTGGAGAGTCTGAGATTGGATACTAAAAGAGTTGAGGAGATTTGGAAAGGCAGTGATGATAGGGATGAAAGGTTCAGGCATTCAAAACTGCACCCTGTCTGAACAGAGGCATTGGTGGGAAGATTTGTTGTTTTCAAGCTCAAAGAAACACAATGTGCCACCTATGCTGTACTCACTGTGGATAGGGAAATTCACAAGTTTTACAGATTTGTTCTTGGGCTCTGGAGAGCTCCAAACAGATGCAAGTCTAGGTAACTACACAAGATAGGAGAAGATGGACATTCAGGGTCATGTGGGATACAATGAGCCTTTATGACATCAAACAAAGAAACAAAATAGTGAATCTCTTGTTATACATATATTGGCAAGCTAAAAACCAATAAAGGGGACACATCCAAGAAGAACAAGGGGCTCAAGAGAAGATGGTGTCTCCAAAAGAAACACATCTATTCATGAATGAAATGAAAGAGACATGAGAGCCTTGTTATTAAAAGCTCCATGTCTTAAAAAAATATAGAAGTAGGTAGAGCTTGCCCCATATATGAAGCAGGAAAGACCCCCAAATCAATAAGATACAGGGTGGGGGTTGAGACTGAATTTGAGAATAAAAGCAGCCAATCCACAGAAAACAACTCCCAAAGATAAGAAAGGTCACAATGGAGGAAGCTACATTGGATAGGGCAAGGAGAGGCCAAATGTCCATATAGTAGTGGTAAAATAAGCCTTAAGAAAACAGGAATTGTCACATAACATTCAAAATAAGTGAGGTGGAGAATAGGGCAGGAAAGAAAATTCCCTGAGAAAGCACCTGAGAAACTCAATAGGCTGTAACAAAGGGAGTCATCAGTGTACAAAGTGGGAAAGCAGAGCTCCCATATGACAAAAGCTGAGGGGTGGCTCCATAAATAAATAGTCTCCAGATCTGCAACGGCTCTTGGTCCCCAAAGCAAGAAATCAAAGTGATCTGAGATGACAGCTGATGAGTTGCATCAGCTCAAAGTACAAAAATACATTAAATATCCCCCCAAAAAAACACATCACAAAGAAAGGGTGTAAAACAGTGGTCCTATAGAGGAGAGTGAAGCAAATGTCAGAATGTAAGACAACTTGATGACATACAAGCCAGAAACAAAGAAATCAAGTTAATTCACACGGAATATAATAAAACCAAGGGGAAGGTGGAAAACAGGTATGTGCAAGTTGTCCCATTAAAGCTGATAGTATCATGACATAAGGCCTATAAAAGAGGGTGAAGAATGATAATGAAACAAAGAAGGTGAGAAAGAGATGAAGAAGGAAGAAGAAATCCCAAAACTGAAAGAAGAGATTAAGTTATCAAGGCTCATGCAACAAGAGAGCCAAGATTGTGCAAAAAAATAACTGGAAAGAGAGAGAACACAAAAGATATACCCGTGGAATTCAAGTAGTGAAGGATAAAAGTGGGACAACCTAATCCTCCTCAGGAAGAGGGAATTAAAAGTAAAACAGGTGTGGAAATAATAGCTTTCTGTGTGAGAGGTGTATATCACCTCCAGAATAAAACTTTGGCTTTCTATTGGTTGTAAATAATATTAAACATCAGAAAAAAGTTACGAGAAAGGGGAGACTCAGTTGAAGTAACAGAAACAAGAGGTCAGAAATCCTGGATTCAATATCAGTTTGAACTAATAAGTAAAAAATTCTGGTAATTCCTAAGAAAAAAAAACACATCTGAAAACAAGCAGTGACAAGGAAAGAATGAGACTTTGTTCAAATGCTAGTGCTCCTGGGGATTACTGCACATGGAGGATGTGTCACCTCACTACTGGTGGAAGGCTACAGCCTAATGATGGTTCATCATAGTCTGACACAATACATTAACATGTGCAAGAGTGGGAACTTTGTTCAAGGCTTGTGGCATGCACAGAAAATCTTCACAACAGCTCACAATGTAACAACTGTTTGATGTACAGAGGAGAGTTGATGAATTATAGTAGTTTACACTATTAAGTTTAATTAATTCAATATTTATTTATCTATAGTATTAGACATTTAATAGAGAGCATTAAATTTCTTAAATAGTAATATCTTGATTGGCTAAATGTGATAGGCAGGTACATGATGCTTTAAATATAACAATTCTGCTTCACTGCTTAGTAATTCACTAGGTATGCCAAACCTTGTCAGGCATTCTTGGATTGAAGGCCAAAAACATCAATAACAATGAAGATATCCAACTGATGATCTAAGGCAGATTGGTAATAGATGCTTTCTACAGTTTGCCTGTTACTCATAATAAAGACTTGTTATTGTTAATAATTTACTGTAGGTTTTTAGCAGCTCTTCTGATAGAAGTTATACATAATTTTTGTAACAAATAATTTAATGTATTTTTAATGTAGAATAATGGTGATCAAAAATAATTACCAAGAAGACTTCGCTGGTGACTTTTATCTGTTAAGTATTTGGAAATGGAGACCAGACCACACAGTTGTTTTCCAGCTGATGTTTCCACACAAGGTCTCTAAATGTAACAAGAATGAACAAAGCTACTTAATAATGTTAGATTACATACTTATTTTTCATGTGGTTTTCACACAAGATCTCCAACATCAATAAATGAGTAAATTACATGAAAGTTTAACAATAACATAAACATAAAAGAACATGACTGAACTAGTAAATATTATTATAACAGATACCTATCTGTACCTGTGTAAAATTACTGAGTAACTGCAGCAGTTACACCACTAAATAAGGTGTCATTTGATAACATGACTGAACTGGTAAATACTATTATAACAGATACCTATCTGTACCTGTGTAACATCACTGAGTAACTGCAGTGGTTACACCACTAAATAAGGTGTCATTTGAAATATAATTTTCCCTATATTTGTAACCAAAAGTCAAATATGAAAAATGTTGTTTGGTTTAGTTACAGCAACAGTATTAAACTTCTGTATTATAAGACAATTTCTTCTACATGAGGCTGGGTATAATTTTCTAAAATTCATTCCTGTAAGGTTGTAGTCTCTCTACCAGCAGCAGCTATACTCAGTTGTAGGCCCTTGTTATGGAGCCAGGAAAAAACATTTTCAAAGGGTGACTTGCAGAACATTAATCGCTAGTTGCTGACATCATAGTCTTTCTGAAAACTTTGCTGTTCTAAGTTTGCCACTGTTCATTTGCAGACCTTTTAGAGTTAACTGGATTAGGGCATGGTACGGCCACCTAGAGCTTGTGAGTCCCTGTGCACAACACAACCTGCACACCCTATATGGCTGCCACTGGCCTCTACCACTTTATGTGGTTCTATTATAGATCTACCATACTGTTAAAGTTGAGATGAAAAGTAAGCTATAGAGAAAAAATTACATATATTAAGAATCTGGTTAATAAGTTTAAATTATTACAAGTTTTATGTCTCACACAGATTATTGCTTATAGGTAGGGCCAAATCCAAGTTTTTAACAAAACTATGCCTGGTAATTTTATGAAAAAAAATTTGTTTTTAATCATTCACCCAAATATTCTCAATGGTGAAGCTTTATCAGTAAATAGCTATTAAATTATAGCATTATTATATCATTTATGAAAGCTACAGAAACAAAAATTACTTGAAACATATTACATTATTTTTATAACAATCAAGTTAATCATAATTTCAATTAATTAACTATTGAAACAATTAAAAACAGTAACAATCAGAAACATTATTTTTGATTAGTTGACTATTTTAATGACAATCAATTTAATCTTTATTTTGATTAATTGATTACATGACACTTAATTGATGTAATTGCTGTTGATGGGTAAATAATTATATTGATTAATCAATTAAATCACACTGTAACAATCAAAATTACTAATTTCAATCAGTTAATTATTTTGTGAAATTAATCGATTTAATTGTACTTTCAATTAATCAATTACTTTATATGACACTAATTGATGTAATCATTATTCATGGGCAATTGATCATATAAATTTATAAAATAAATTGCCCATCTCCACTGATATGTTCATAGAAGTTCTCTGAATTCTTGACAAAAGAAAGGTAGTATACTGTATAGTGACAAGGAGAATCTAATGTGCTGATTGTAGGTCTGTTTGGAACTCTGGGTTTGTAAATTTTTAGTACAGTATTTTGCTTCTCTTATTTTATTTGCTTGTTTTAAATAAACATGTATTCACCGACTTATATATATAAGACACAATGATTTGTAAGCATAATGAAATATTTTAATACATAGTACATGTTGCAACAGATCATTGGTCTGTCTTCTTCAAGTATGATACAAATCCAAACAAAGAGGTTTATATATATATAGAACAAAATGTCTAGGGACTATGGATAACAGGATGTAACAACGGGGTGTTATTATGTGACAACAAAAACTGTAACAGAATTATTACCTACTAGGTGAATAAAATTTGCCATATTTTGTTAATGTTACTAGGGCTATTGTTATGGTTCAAATATAAAACACTTGTTTTCATAATTTCAATGCTTTCAAAAATATTTCATTCTATCTTATGTTTTACTTGGTGTAAGAGGGACATTTTTCCCCAAATAATCCAATGACCAGTTTCAAATTGATTACATGTTAAGGCAGATTTTTCAAAATCCTCTCGACGCATGTGGCTGTAGATGAAAGAAAACACCAATGATGCAGGTAAAAGGAAAAGTGCCTGATTAGAGTGAAGGAGTCAGGAATTGATTACAAGAAGGATATAATGAATAAAAGGCCAATAGAATCAAAAGCTGAACCCAATGGGAAGGGAGAAGAAAAAAATCATGAGCAGAGGAGTGGTGAAAGGGAATGAAACTTTGGGAGATATAGTCAAGGGAAAGAAGCCTTGAAAGCAATATAGCAACCCAGAGCACATATGGAGAAACAGCCGAGAAAACCAGATATGTGTCAGCCATATGTGTCAATAAGAAAGACCTGACATGGAGCGACACTGATGAACAAAATCACCTTAGGAAGAAGACTGACAGAATGAGAAAAATTATAAACTGGGTCTAATCCTGTCTGAACATATCAACAAAGATAGCTAATGGATGATGATCCAGAAACCAAAATGAAAAGAGGTAACTTGGAATCGAGAAAGGAGTCAAACACTTCCCATGGAGGAGCACCCCACAGCAGGCAGAGCCACAGAAAATTTGAGGATCGAAAGGCCACTCTTTGGGAGAAAGTGTGTTGGGGCTGAAAAGGCAATCTGCAATGACGACAAAAGCACCTGGAACACAACATGCCAGGAGACATATGTCAAGTGTGTGATTTCAAAAAGGGAGATCCACTGTCTACCTAAGAGAAAACAAGAAGGAGTGGCCCCTTCTCGAGTGATATAAGCCACCACTGTCAATTAGTTGAAATGAAACATGATTAGTAAAATCCTGACAAGAGGAAGAAAATGAAGTAAAGCATGTGGGACTGCTGGAAGTGCCAGGGCATTAACATGGTAAGACATTTTGTCCTCAGATCATTGTCCTAAAGCCTCCTGCTGATTGACCCACACTCCCCAACTTTGGAGAAGAGCATCAGGGAAGAGAAACAAATCTGAATGAGGGGGAGGAAGTAGTAAACCCAATGACCTGGGGGATATGTTAAACCATCAAAGCATATAGTCGAAGAAGGAAAGTTAAGAGGATAATCCAAAAGAACCCTAGTAAGAAACCATGGTCATGCAGCATCTCCTGAAAAGAACATAAATGTGCCAAAAATTGGTACCAAATTATGTGATTAAAAAAAAAACAACTAAGGTAGTGCCCCTAAAAATGCAAATAAAAACATGTACCATCAGCATTCTCAGTCTTGCAGAAATTGCCCACCCATGGGGGAAGAACCAAGAAGTGATTGAGGTGGGACCGACCAGTCCAGAACTCCAGTCAGCATCGAGCATACACAAAGAATGGAGAAACCCATAGGTATGACAGATAAAGGACATGAACATGCCAGACATGGAACATGAATTAAGATGGCAATGGCATAGAATGAAACAAACGAGCAACCAAAATATAGAATATATCATCACAGATACTCCACATGATGCTAAAAGCACAAGAATAGCCACAAAAAATGGACCATTGCAGAAAAAGAGGAAACCGTAAATCCCTATCAGAAGTGGATGGTAAACAAAAAGTATATGACAGTGTTCCACCCCAGAAGAACCCAAAAGCAAAGAAGCTAAATGTGGAGGGAAATAACTGAAGATGGCAAACACCCCAACATGTAGGGAAGGAGAAGAAAGTATCCCATAAAAATTCCCTAGACACAGGTGGAACAGCTAAGAGAAGGGGTGTAAGGTATACATGTCCAGATTGCCCTCCCCCCTACAGATTCTAAGTACATAGAATCAAGAAGAAAAGGACCTACTAAGCCTAAGGCCACTGTGTAGAGATGAGACGTATAAAGATGTCACCATGAGTGTCAAACTGATTGATAGGAAGAGGAACAAAATCTACTGTGTCAGCATACAGATAGATTCGGAAATACAGACCTTAGACAACACAAGGTCGAGATGAAGATGAGGAATCCCGTTAAGGAGAAGCCCTACTGGACACCCTATGTTAGGAGAAACAGACAAAGGAATTGCAAATGTTGGAGCAGACTTTGTATATGAACTAAGAACAGTCTTTGTACATATTAAAAAAAATATTGTATATATTTTATCTTGAATTTTATGTCATGATATAAAAGACTGTTTGGTTTGGATATTAGTGATTAATTTATTTTTGTGAGTGAATATTTTATTATTGTTTAGTTTTTGTTATAATAAGAGTTAAAAGCAGACGATTGTAGAAGGTTTTGTTCAAAATTCATTGATGTTGATACTCGCAATATATTGATGTCGAGAATATAGAATGCAGATAGATGATTAGGTAATAAAGATATATATAGTGTGAGATGAGCTGGAAGTAGCAGACAGACAGACGCAGACACATAATAGCAAAGAAAAACAAAGTTGGCATAAAATTAAGTACCGTAGAAGTGATAGGCCTAATGATTAGGCTTAATGTATGATATGTTAGAGTAAAACTAACAGTAGAAAAAGAGATAAGAAAAATAATAGTATTCCATCAAAACATGGTTCTAAAATAACTGAATCTGACTGAGAACACTTTGACAAAAGGTACAGAGGATCTTCAGAAGAAAAGACCAAAATAATTATGGTAACTCACACCACAATTGTTAGTGAATCACAGAGAATACTAGTGCGATAGAAATATAGAAGATAGTTTGGCTTGTCAACTGAAATTCTAAAGTAATTGAATTGGCCTAAGTGAATATTTGACAAGGAGAGAACTACATATATAGTATTTATATGTCCATAATATCTATAGTGTTGAAATATTTATTGTACATACGTTAACTTATTCTAAATATATGTGTTATTTTGAAAACAGGTAAAGAGCATGCTGTTTATTCATTGTTGAATTTATCACTAACAAGTCACAGACACATACTGTAGAAGAATCCTAAGCACAATAACAATATAGTATATATTTATACT